TATTTTGCCTATTTAGGGTGCCTTGAAATTCCAAATGGATTTTAGAATGGATTTTTCTATTTTGGTAAAAAAAAAAAACAACAATAATAATTGGAATGTTGATAAGGATTGCATTGAATCTGTAGATTACTTTGGGTATTATTGACATCTTACTAATAAGTCTTCCAATCCATGAACATGGGATGTCTTTCCATTAATCTGCGTCTTTAGTTATGTTTTATAGTTTTCAGTGTGAACATGTTTTAAATTTTAAACACAAAAATTCCAAGTGGCCACTCACAATAAAATAATTTAAGTTCTGTTACTTTAACTTTATGATCACTGAGCTATTGTTATTTACTTTGAATCTCTGTTTAAATGCCAGGATTATTCCTCAAGAGTTGGAGACAGAAAGTGCTCTAGAAGACAACTTGAACCACAACCAATTCACTCCCAAAATAAATGAGCTCTGCATATATAGAGAATAAGTGGAGAATTCTCCAAATCAACTTCTATGTAAAATACTTTAAAACTAACGAATAATTAAAATGTGCTCATCTGGACGGTATGTGCATGTGATTAAAACTCAACAGTAACTGCAGCAATGGTTCAGAATTTAGACCAGCATCAAGATTTTTCTGGGGGGAGTATTTTATCACTAATTTTGCTTAGTGATCTTTGCAATAACAACAAATAGACTGATATTATTACCATTATCTTTCAATTTTCAGAAAATGCATGGCTTAATTTCCTGTACATGGGGAGGACTTCTCCCACCACCACCTTTAGTTCTCCCCTAGCATTGGGTCTCAAGGAGTTTGAGTTTGGAAGCTCACAGGCTACTTAGCATTAAGGACTTGGTGGGTTATCTTGCACCCTTCAGTATCAGGCTCCTTTGCTTCTACAGTCCCTGCCACTCTCCACTCTCCTGGCTTCTGCTTACCTAACCTGACCATCTTTTAGCTTCTACCCCTACTATGAACCACTGACTGAATCTATTGTCTTGCCTTCCAGCCACCAAGAGAGAATCCAGTAATAAAGCACTTGGTGCCTGGCCCCATCACAGGCTGTTAGCCAGTCTGTAGGTTCATTGCTACGGTGCCAGTCTCCAGTCCTGTGCAATCTCCAAAGGCCAGCAAGTGGCAGGGCCATTTGCTCAGCTCTTCTTGGGGGAAAGGAGGGAGGGAGCCTGGGCCAGGTGGGCATGCAAATTGGTTCCTCTCAAAAACACTTCCCTTTCTCCTGTGTTTCTTTTTTCTTCCCTTTCCCCATTTTCATCTCTCCGACAGTCTCTGTATAAATACAGATATGAAGCTTCAGAAATGTATATTCACCGCCTGCTCTGTAAACACAATAAATTCTTTTCTCGATAGGATGGGGGCTCTTTTGCTTAACTAAAAGCAGATGAGAGAATTGGTTAACCTAACTCGCCGTCTTTCAAACCATTTCAGGTTGGCTTTTGGTCTTTATCCAATTATTATATCATGTTTTTAAATCTAATCCTGTAACCATTTATGAAAAATTTTCTGCCCCCCCCCCCCCCGCCCAAAAAAAGTCATTATTTGTGAAACTTACTAAATAGTCTCTTTCAGAGTACACAGTAAACTTGCAGGGTGCTGAATTTGGGGCAAGAAGTGTTGGAATTTACTACTCAAAGCCCCTCTGTGAGTTACTCATCATCTAACATTTTAACATCTGCTGTCTTTTCATTTTTGCTCCCCCATTTTTTACTCTGATTTCTCTCCAGGTTGTGGATGTCCCGCAGCAGATACAGGAGGGAGGAGAGACCATATTCATTAAACACAATAAAGAAGAGCAGTGGGGAGATTGTCTGCCCTTCTCACATAGCAGGTAGATGGCACTGCCTTGATCAGTATATGTTCCAGCCCTCCTATTTTTTTCTGAAAAGAACATCAAATTTAACAAGAAAGTTTATAAGAATTGGTTTTAAAAACATAACCCCACCTCCCTAAGATTAATTTCAAGTTCCATTTATCTCCTCCCACGTGCATAAGAATTTTTGCCTAGCTACAATTCTAACCAGGGACACATTGCTCTTTTATTCCCAGCTGCAGGCAGACAGGAAATTGCTATCGTGGCTGCAGGAAGGTAGCCAAATGCTCCTCTGGTCCTTTGTGCAATCTAGCCCCACGCCCACCCTGTCTAACAGGTCACAAATGCTTACCACTAAAGTAGGGCCAAACCTTTAGGAGTTCCCAACCTAAAGAGCGACATCACAATACATAGCCATTCTCCTAAATGGCCACTGCCCATCCTTTCACCTTTTCCTTTAATCTGCCCAAAGCAGTAAGGACAGAAGAGACTCAGTCAGCCAGGAGTCATGGCTCTCTGAAGGTCCTGCACTCCTTCCTTCCTGTCACGCAGGAGGTGGTTCTAAGGACAGAGAGGCCCTCCCTAACTGGGTCAGCTGCATGGAAACTTCTTTTTCTGATCCCAGAGCCTCCACCCACTCTGCAAAGTAAATGTTTTCCTCATTTCTAAATAGTCTCTTTCACAGTACACAGAAAGCCCAGCTTTCCCTTTTCCACATTCTGGTCCCTCCCTCCCTGGAATGCCTCCCTCCCCCTTCTCCTTTTCTCCTTTCCCAATATGCCTCCTGCAGCCCTTGGGAGAGCAGCTTATCTTTCCCCTCTAGAAATGGAGTTCTGCGCACAGAGCACCCACCTTCGGTGGAGTGCAGAGGTTAAACCCAACTACCCACAGGGGCCAAGAAGTACAGAGGTTTCTTCCAACTCTGTTTGCATATTAAGTACACAGGATCATTCTTACTTTTACAAAGAAATATGCTCTACCTTGTTCCTCCTGGAAACACATGGCTGTCAGGCAACCTTTCATTTTCACAGTGTTGACAGAGATAGGGACATGTTAGGGTAGGATTCATTTTCCTCCTAATTCCCCTCTAATAAAAGTAACAGTGTGAGAGGGGAGCTAAAATGACAATAGACAATGTCAGTAAATGTTGGAGAACTTTCTGAACAAATAGGGACAGACAGTGCCAAGGTGGCTACTCCCCAGCCAGCATTTGCCAAATAGAACATGGGCCCAGCGTGGGTAGATCTTGACATTTTAGGCAGGTATCCAGATATTTTTGTGAAAAATCATGTTTTTAAAAAATGTTGACGGCTAATTCAAAAGAATTGAAAACGTTTCAAAGATTAAAGTAGACAAGTTTTGCAAGAAGCAAGAGGATTGCGGGGTGCAGTCTGTGGCACTGTAAATTCTAACAGGCTCTTTCTTATTTCATTGTACTTGCTCAATTTACAACTGTCAGTTCCATAACTATGCCCTTTACAGAGATCACTAACCTGTTCCTGTATTCATTCTCCATATTTGTGGTAATAGCTTTGTCTTCTAGTCTAGCTCCACAATACTGCTAATAGTGCCTCAAGGTCAAATTACTCTCCTTTTCTTCTCCTTCTCCCCTACAAAAGGAGGTAAGACATAGAGTTTTTAGAACCAAAGATTGGAGTCAAATTAATTTAGAGATTAAATTAGAGTAGTGTTACAGTTTTCTTGAGTGGTTAGGAATTTTAGCAAGAATCTTACTGCAAGTTCTTGCTCAGAAGAGAACTGATCAGCATGCACCCACACACATGAAAACATTACTGTGCTGAAAACAGAAATCACAGTGAGTCACTTCTAACACTGCCATGTACCTCCCTTAAGCCTGAGAATTTTCCCCACTTCTGAACTCCAACCATTTGGAGCCCTCCCCCTATCAGCAGTTATTCTGCATTTTTATCATTACTTCATGCCTGCCGCCTTCGCCGTAAGAGCAGGGACTGTATCTCCATTGCAGCACCAGGCCTGGCACAGTGCCTCGCCTCTAGCTGACAAAGCAAGAGTTATTGTGTAAATTATCATCATCCAGATAATAGCTACCATTTCCAGATCACTTACTATGTGCTAAGTAGTTCACCTAAATCAGTGGTTCTCAACCTTCTGGCCCTTTTAAATACAGTTCATCATGTTGTGACCCAACCATAAAATTATTTTTGTTGCTACTTCATAACTGTAATGTTGCTACTGTTATGAATTGTAATGTAAATATCTGATATGCAGGATGGTCTTAGGCGACCCCTGTGAAAGGGTCGTTCCACCGCCAAAGGGGTCACGACCTACAGGTTGATAACCACTGACCTAAATGATACTGGAGGCTTTCCCAAATCAAACCATCCAATCCAAAGCAGCACCAGTCACCACTAGCACACCTTATTTTATTCCTCTGAATAGGATGCCTGCTACCTAATATATTTTTATTTAATTATGTCTCCCCCCACTAGAATGAAAGCTCCAAGAGAACAGTCATCTTGTCTAAGTCGTGCTTGGACAGAAGATCACAATAAGTATGTTTTAAATTTTACATTTAGATTTCAGAATAATTGTATTATTTTATAGTTCATAATGAGCTCTGGGAACGGGGAGTGGAATAAAAATGAAAACTTTAGTCACATTCCCTCAAGCATAACATTGGTGCGAGAATTTCTGCTGCAATCAGAAAGCCACTTCCTCTGACCTAAGGTCCTCCACACATCTGGATCTTGCCACATCCTCCGATATGACACTATTCATGATGGCTGGGCGGGCTGAAGCTGCCCGATTCCAGACGCTCACACTGTCAGAGCCGGGAGTGCAGGTCGTCCGTGGTGGGTGGGTGGGCAGGCCCTCCTGCGTGGATTCTGCGCCTCCGGGGTCCTGGGGCGGCTGTGGGATTCTCCGGGTTGGGACCCATTCCTACTGTGCTGCGCTTTTTCACCTCCAAAGCGCACACACACTGCAGGGTCTAATGCTGCGCACCCCGAGCCTGCCTGGGGCGACCTCACCTAAAGGGACACGCACGCCAGCGCCCACTGGCTCCAGGGATGGTAAGAGAGGTGGCGGCGATCTGGCGAACCAGAGCTGGCCTGGCCTGGCCCCGCCCCGCCCCGCCCCCGCCGACTGAGGCCCCACCCACCCCTCCAACGACCAGGCCCCGCCCACCCCGCCCCTCTGAGCCCAGCTCGTTCCGAGGTAGCACCTCCTCCCGAACCCGCCGGCGGGTGCGTGTCGCTGCTGCGCCTTCTCCTCCGTCACCGCTGCCGCCATGCCCGGAGGTCTCCTTCTCGGGGACGAGGCTCCCAATTTCGAGGCCAATACGACCGTCGGCCGCATCCGTTTCCACGACTTTCTGGGAGACTCGTAAGTGGCCACCCCGTCGCCCTGCCCTGGCCTCGGGCTGCGCTCCCATCTGAAGGTGTCTCCCCTGCGTCTTCTCCCTTCGTCCTCCGGCCGCTCGGTGCCTGCCCGCCGCCACCTCCCCGCACCGGTTCCTGCACGTGCCTCTCACTGTGCGTCCCCTGCCCCGCGGCGGCCACTGGGTTCCCTCCCGCGTCCCGCCCCAGCATGCCCAGCCTGGCTCCAGGCGGGGAAGGGGGAGGGGAAAGAAATCGGGTTTCCGCAGGTCCCGGGACCCGGAGCGCGGTGCGGAGCAGGGTTTGTTGCTGTTTAACTCGGTTTGTAAGTTGTGCAAGCAGCATGTCCAGCCAGGCCCGGTGGGGACTGAAACCGGCGGCCTCGGCGGTCACCTCCCGGGACCCCTGCCTGGATTCGGCCCCCTCCCTCCCTCTGTTCTGGAACTTGCGCCCGGGGGAAGGTGGGTGTGAGTCCGGGGACTGCTGCTGGCAGAAGGGCTCTGCCTGCTGCCTGGGATTTGCAGGCTTCTCGGCGCAAAATGTAAAGTTTAAAGCCACCAGCTGCCGGATAAGCGGCCGGAAGACTTTTTGGCCACAGCCTCCTTCAGTGGCCAGGATAAGATTTGATAAGAACTTTGGGAGGAACCAAGAACACTCTGTGCATAGGTGTGTCCTTCATTCCAGAGCTTGCAACACTGTGAGGGAAGGGCTTTCTGAGGCTGTCCAATTGCAGCGACCTCTTCTTGCCAGGACACATGAACCTCTGCTGGCTGTGACCCTTTGTTTCCCAGTGGTGTGCCCCTCCCCCTCGCCTAGCTTCCAGCAGCACATGGCCTGGCTAGAGCGATACAAATTGGTGACCTGTTATCTGGCAATCATACCATTATGACTAGGAGTAAATTGCTGTCACCCTGGTTTTATAGCTCCTGGATCTGCAGACGTTAAGTTGCTCAGCTTCAATCAGAAACTTCCCAGACATGTCTAGTTACATGATGGTTCTGGAGTTCAGGAGCCCTGTGGTCTTCTGAGGCTTAACAATTCCTCCCTGGGTTTGAATCCTTTTATATGTGGTATCCAGGTATGTATATATAGAGAGAAGGAAGTTTTTGAGATTAACCAATGATTGGACAGGGCTGTTCAGAGAACCTGGGAGAGACTCTATACCTTAGGCCTGTGGTCAGCAAACTGCAGCTCGCGATCCACATGCGGCTCTTTGGCCCCTTGAGTGTGGCTCTTCCTAAGCCTTAGGAGTACCCTAATTAAGTTAATAACAATGTACCTACCTATATAGTCTAAGTTTAAAAAATTTGGCTCTCAAAAGAAATTTCAATCGTTGTACTGTTGATATTTGGTTCTGTTGACTAATGAGTTTGCCGACCACTGCTAGACGTAGGAGTTACCCAACCCCTTACAACTCTAAGTCCATTTCCAGCCTCTCATCAAGGGAACAAACAGTTTGTGAAAGAGAGGGCTCAACTAGAAAATGATGAGAAATGGAACATTCGGACCCTGAAGGCAGGAAAAGGCTTCAGAAACACAGACCAAGGCCAGTCTATACTCAGAATCTAGGTATTAGCATTTCTCCAAAACCCCATGGTATTTTTCAGAGTATGTTCCTTCCCATTCCACTCTCTGTCCTCACCCCCACACAGCATAGGAATCTTACCAGAACTCTTAGGCTGTATGAATTAAAGATAAATATTAACATAAAGCATAATTACTATAGCAATAAGTAAAAATGCTGTCACTGCCTCAGCTAACTCCGCTTTCTTGGGTTTTGTTGTTGTTGTCATCACCATAGTTTATTGGCCTCTAGATCTCTCTTGATTTGATTAAAAATGGTACCATCTCTGGGAACCACCAGTGGAAAAATGAGAAAAATACCCACATCTATAAAAGACTATATAAGCCCTGGCCAGTATGGCTCAGGTGGTTGAGCATCATCTGGTGCACTGAAAGTTGCTGGTTCGATTCCCAGTCATGGTACATACCTGGGTTGCAGGTTCGAGGTTGGGGTGTCACAGGTCAGGGTGCATTCTGAAGGCAACTGATCAGTATTTCTCTCACATTGATGTTTCTCTCTCTCCATCTTCCTCTCTCTCTAAAATCAGTGAAAATATGTATTTTTTTTTTAAGGTTGTACAAGTCGGCCCCACCCCCAAATGACATTTGAGCTCTTTATGTCATTATAGTACATGGATTTTTGCCTAATATAATATTTTCCAAACTCCATTCTGTATGCAATCTCAATTCAGACTGTCAATTTTTGTTTCGGGTGTTGTTTTTTTAGGGGGGGAGAAAAAAATTAAAATAACCATAAAATTTCACAGGCATCTACTCCATCCTCCTCTCCACTCCCCCAGACAATGAGATACAACTAAGAGGTTTGGGGACTGTGTTTGGTGAGTTTATTGAGCCTTAATCGCTGTTTCTTTACGTATGTGGTGTAAGCAGCTTCACAGCTTTTTCACTAAACAAAAACGTGTGTTTTCCTGAAGTTTTCTGGGGGGTTAGTGAGAAGGGACTGTTCCCTTAAAGGAGGAAACCTATTGTCTTTTGAAAATGAGGAAGGAAGGAAATGGGATCATGTAATTAACTCTCACCAGCAGCAGTGGGGAGACTCTGAGGGGAAGGCAGGCCACAGTCAGACATGCCAGAGTTTATTCCTATTCCTAGCTGAGTGGTAAACTGGAGTTTGGCTTCTCCGGAAGGAGAGAGGGTGTGAAGTGATTCAGAGAAATGGTCTCTTGACTGGAAATGGAAGGAAAACGCCTGACTTGCCTCATTCATCACCCCGTTAACATTTCTTCTCAAAAGTCTCGTCTGAACCCTAAACAGACAGATCCTTTTCCATAGAACCTAAGGCCTACATTTTACTCAGAGCTACATTATTACAAAAGATATGTATCCCCCTTGTTGCCCTTTTAAAAAAGTAGACCTACCACACACCTCCACAGTGTTAAAGATATTACCTTCCTTCCCAGTCTTTCCATAGCCTCCTCCATCCTTTTTGTAAGAAAGTCTTTTCCTTTCCCGAAGCCTTGGAGTTGAGTGACAGCTGTGAGTGGAAGGGGGTACCTTCATTTCTGCTTTGTTTTTTGTGCTTCGGGGAACTTGGCAAACTTGGTGAGCTCAGCTTGGCATCTAAGCTAGATCTAGTAATCTAGGTTAGGGTCCTGCTTTAATTTTGTAAGCCCCTGGGAGTGTGGAAAACCGAGAGTTAAATTTCCCTTTTCAGTAGAGTAGTTTCCATGGTCACCAAAGAGCAGGAACTGGGACTCCAAAGATTCTTGGTGGCTCAGCTTAAAGCATGCTTAAAATCTCTACAAGTTTAACTTCAGGCAGTGATGCTCTAGATAATAGTATTTACCTAAAAATCTGTAGTTCTAGAATCTACATTGTAGTTTATCAGGTTTCTACCTACTTGGTCTGAAGCAAGAAGAAAAAGAAACCACAAATGAAGAGATAGGTAAAATTCTCTTTGAGACAGCATGGAGGGACCTGGAGAGTATCATACTAAGCGAAATAAGCCAGTCAGAGAAAGACAAGTATCATGTGATCTCACTCATATGTAGGATCTAATGAACAAAATAGATCCAGAGACATAGAAGCTTGGAACAGACTGTCAGTCTCAGAGGGAAGGCAGGGGTGGGTGGGAAGAGATTAACCAAAGAACTTGTATGCATATATCATAACCCATGGACACAGACAATAGTGTGGTGAAGGCGGGGGGGTGGGGGGGGATGGAGAGTAGTGGGGGGGGTTAGAAGGGGTCAATGGGGGGGAAAGGGAACATATGTAATACTGTCAACAATAAAGTTTTTTTGTTATTTTTGTTTGTTTTTAAAGCTGTGACAGCTAAAAAAAGAGAGATAGGTAAAACTTTGAGAGTGCTGTTTTGTCAAGATGCAAATATTGGTTGTCCTGTAAAGCTGTCTGATAAAAGGTTTTATAGCCATTCACTTCAAAGAAGCCACGTGTCAACTTTAATTTTACATATAAATAGAGGATACCAGCCTATTTATTTTAGATTACAAAATCTGTTTATTCATGTAATCAGCTGTTCGTTTGGATTCAGAGACTTTGGGAACACCCATTATTGGAGCTGAATGTTGGGCTGTGGTTAGGGAAAAAAAATAAAGAAGAGGGCAAGAAGAAAATAAGTTATTTTAATAAGCTACTTGGTTTGAGTAGCACAGGTTTTATTAGTTGAAAAGGAGTCAGAATGACTCAAAAGAGGCAACACCCTTAAATTAGTCTTTTAAAATATTTGTCATCTTGATTGTAAGCATTCATTTTTTGAAAGAACATCATTTTTTACCTCAGATTTGTGACTTCCCATTCTGCATGCTGGTGATAACCTTGTCATTCAGTTGTGACCTTTGCCTTCATTGCAGATGGGGTATCCTCTTCTCCCACCCTCGGGACTTTACCCCTGTGTGTACCACAGAGCTTGGCAGAGCTGCAAAGCTGGCACCTGAATTTGCCAAGAGGAACGTTAAGCTGATTGCCCTTTCAATAGACAGTGTTGAAGACCATCTTGCCTGGAGCAAGGTAACGTTTCTATGGCTGTGCTTTGAGGTTATAAATGGTAGAGTAGAAATAAATGAAGTTTTACTGGAGGGGGTGAAAGAGAGGACGCAAGTACATGCATGTCCTTTAGTTCAGACTTGAAATGCTTTGTTTTCTGTGTAGATTTCACTCTAGTGATTTACCTTTGACTTGTCCTTGAAGTCTGTGTTCAACTCTCCATTCTTATATTTCCTTTGAGTTTTGTGTTCTGTTCTGTTTTGTTTTTGTTTTTTTAATATCTCTCTTCTGGTAGCTTAATGTCTGAGTCAGGGTGTTTTTGAGGCAGGGATCAGATCTATAAAATTATCTTTGCATGTGGTGGTGTTTCCAGATGTGATGGACTTAAGGAATGCATTATTTCTGATGGTTTTTATATTTGGAAACCCAGAGGCACCTTGGATTGGTATCTGATACTATACTATTCGGCTTATAAAGAGGTTATTGCTGCTTTCTTAAAGCAGTAAAAACAAGCTGCATTTTAACAGACTTGGGCATGAAAAGAGTCAATGCTTAGCCATGGCCAAGTGGCTCAGTTCATTGGGCGTCATCCCATATATTGAAAGGCTGCAAATTTGATTCCTGGTCAGGGCACATACCTAGATTACAGGTTCAATACCCAGTCAGGGCTTGTGCAGAAAGTAAAGGATTGAAGTTTCTCACATCAGAGTTTCTCCCCCCGCCCCCTTTAAAATCAATAAACATATCCTCGGGTGAGGATTTAAAAAGAAGAAAGAAAAGGGGCTATGCTTACAACCTAAATATAGTACCCTATTGCTCTTCCTATCAGTGAATAATTGGGATGGGGAGTGTTTGTTCATTCATTAAAATTGCTTAGAGAAATTACTATGATTATGGTCCTCTTCCCTGTCTTGCAATAGGATGGCTTGCAACAGATTGAATTCAGAGGATGTGCCTGGTTTAGATTTCTCTTTCCCCTTTGACCTGCCTTTTAGGATATCAATGCTTACAACTGTGAGGAGCCCACAGAAAAGTTACCTTTTCCCATCATCGATGACCGGAATCGGGACCTTGCCATCCTGTTGGGCATGCTGGACCCAGCAGAGAAGGACGAGAAGGGCATGCCTGTGACGGCGCGTGTGGTGAGTTATCAAAGTCCATATGGAGTCCTCATGACTGGCCAGGCTGTATGGCCATGTAAATGCTTGGAGCACCTAGAGCAGCGGTTCTCAACCTGTGGGTCACAACTCCTTTGTGTGTCGAACGACCCTTTCACAGGGGTCGCCTAAGACCATCGGAAAACACATGTATAATTACATATTGTTTTTGTGATTAATCAGTATGCTTTAATTCTGTTCAATTTGTAACAATGAAATTGGGGGTCACCACAACATGAGGAACTGTTTTAAAGGGTCACAGTATTAGGAAGGTTGAGAACCACTGACCTAGAGGAAATAGGCGAATATATGTTAATGTCTACATATTTCCTCAGGGAAATAACTGTACTGGTAGCAATCTCACTGATTATGTGTAATGCTCATGCTAAATTTTTAGCTAAAATTTTAAGCTGGATAATTCATAGCTTATGGAAACCTACTTCTAGAATTGAGTAATCTTTCCTATATCTCTCCTGACAGCCTCTCTTAAATGGGATGGATCATGTCCTTCGTCCTTGGGCACCTCTGGTTTTGAATTCTAGTTAGTTCTGTCCTCAAAACAGACTTAGTCCCTCATCTGCAAAAAGTACAACTACGTGAGGGCCAGTATCCATTCCCATTTAGTATTATTTTTATGATAATCACCCCTATTTAACATAGTACCAGCCGGAGCCCTTTCCTGGATTCAGTTTGCATGTCAGTTTTTCTTACTGGGACAACCAGAACCAAATATAATCTCCTTTTAAGTGCAGAAAAATAACATGAACACTGATGTATACCTGAGGCTAATACAATACTCTAGGTCATTGTAATCGAAAAGCTAAAAAATACATATTTTTATAAAAAGGGAAATGACATGGAGAAGAAAAGTGCCTGGGTTCCTGCCCCCCTGTGACGTTTGGTGTGCCGTTTTAGATATTGGGGAATTTTTTCGTTCGCTTTGCGTTTATACCTTCGAACCTTTGTCATGACAGGCAAGCATTCCAAGAGGCTTTCATATCAAAGACCTTGTCCTATTTAAGTGTCTGTGTATTTACAGGTGTTTGTTTTTGGCCCTGATAAGAAATTGAAGCTGTCCCTCCTCTACCCCGCGACCACCGGCAGGAACTTTGACGAGATTCTCAGAGTAGTTATCTCTCTCCAGCTGACAGCAGAAAAGAGGGTTGCCACCCCAGTTGATTGGAAGGTAAAGATGCTAAAGGGCAGGTCCCCAGCGCACCTGAAAGGCCTGTGTGGCTAATGTCCAGTGGCCACCCTCGGGCTCTCTGTTTCCAGCGCGCAAGTCCACTGGGAGGATTTTTCCTCATGGCTGAGTTTAAGATTTGCTATTCAAAGTCTTTAACACTTTTATATAAAACACAAACTCCCATGTTGCTTTCTAGCTTTTAGCTTATTTGGGCAGATTAATTGGTCAGAATGATTCCCTTTCCTAATAAAAGGATTTTTTAAAAAACTTTAATCCTTCCCTGATGGCAAAATATTTACAATAAAACTTAGATTGGCCACTTAAGTCCTGGCTGTAAAACTTTTGGTGTCTTACTGTCCTGAAGTATTTTCTTCTCTTAAGCTTCATTAAACCTCTGTAGAATTCTGACACTTGTTTTCACGCTTACAATCTCTAGGATTTCTGCAATATGTAAGACATGGATAATATCACAAGAATATTTTAACTTCGCTACATTTTTAAAAATATGCTAACCTGAATACCAGTTTTTGTTTTTCTGATAAGTATATCAGATAAAATGCTGTGTCCATTCCCTGAGCATACATTTATTGAGCCCAGATATAGCCATGAACAATAAAGTTCCAGACCTCTTAGACTCACGTTCCAGTGGTAGAGACAGGCAATAAACTAGCTTATAGTGTATTAGGTGCGCGGAACAATGGGGAGCGGAGGGGAGAAGGGGAGTACTGTGGTGGGAAGGCTGGCTTTCTGCCTGGCTGTCAGGGGGGCCTAGTGCAGGAAGCTTTACCTGAGGGTGAGCGTGGCATGTTGGAGGACCATGGTAAGTCAGAGAACCTGGGGATCTAAAGTTCATTCTCGCCTTCAGGCTTTACCATTGGATTTCACCATTCTCCATGTCTGTCCGTAGGTTGGAGATAGCGTGATGGTCCTCCCAACAATCCCTGAAGAGGAAGCCAAGAAACTCTTCCCTAAAGGAGTCTTCACCAAAGACCTCCCATCTGGCAAGAAATACCTGCGCTACACGCCCCAGCCGTAGGTCTCACCCTGCACAGTGAGACAGCGGGTGCCAGCTGCCAGTCAAGTGTCCTACAGCAATTCCATAGAAACATCCCACTATGATCACAGCCACGGTCTCTAGGTTGCTGTCCTCCTGGCTTATTAAATGAAAATGGCACTAAACACCCCGTGGGATTCTTTGCTTCATGCCTTCACCAGCATTCTGTTCTGTTCCCATGCCTCAGCCCTCTCTCCTGGCTCTCTAAAATACAGTCTGTATTTGAGACTCACATCATATTGGATCTCTGCAGGTTTGTGATCAGCAACGTAGGATCCACTGATAGTTGAAAAGCTGCTTTGCTCCAGCCCGGAATGACCATCAGGTTTTTTAGCTGTTCTAATCAAATCCTCTCTTCCATTACACATTTTGGGGAGCAGCAGAACTTGAGGTTCAGTTTCCTCTGTCAATCTGTAAGTATATAACCCTAGCAGTTAAAAGTAACCGGATATTCTTCAGTACTCAGTGTTTTGATCACAACTAAGGGGAAAGATTTCCATTCTGTACTTTTACAGGAGAGAACTGAAATGGGATGAGCAGGGGGAAGGATCTTTACATTTTTTTAAAAAAATATTTTATTGATTTTTCACAGAGAGGAAGGGAGAGGGATAGAGAGCCAAAAACATTGATGAGAGAGAAACACCGATCAGCTGCCTCCTGCACACTCCCTACTGGGGATGTGCCCGCAACCAAGGTACATGCCCTTGATCAGAATCAAACCTGGGACCCTTGAGCCAAACCGGTTAGGGCTAAATATTTTGCTAAGAAAAATTTTCAATACATTTCTACCAAAAGAGGGAGAAAAGGCTCCACTTACCTGCTGGAGGTGTGAGCAGAACAACAGCGCCACCTGCCTCTCACAGCAGGTATATTCGTGTCAGTGCTCCGCCTTGCTAACACTGAAAAGGCTCCCCCTGGGGAGGAAGGGAGGAGAGGATGACTGAAGTTGTTTGTAGAACTATTCTTGCTGAGGGTGGGGCAGTACTTTCTGAATGTTGCTTTTGGGGGATCTGGCAAATAAATCCGTTGTTAAAACTAGATCAGAGAATTCTGTTGTCACATTTTGAAATACTCGGTTAGACCCGTGTCCTGAGGGCAGAGGCTTCCTCACTGGGATTGGCGTTGATGCTTCTCTCCGGAGACAGATATATAAAATTTCTAATGACCATGGAGGTGCAGCTGGCCTCATGTGACTTCATCACAGCACTTGGCCCACTTTGCTTCTTCGTGGTACCTGTGTGGGTCCTATAGTCCCTTGAGTTTGTGACCCCCAGGTGTAACACACCTAATGCCTTAATGGGATTGCTGAGCTTCAGAATTTGAATCTTGAGGATAATGATGCACATAGGTATGCTTTTCTGGAAAGTACTAGTTACTCTGAATTCACGTCTCTTGGACTTATGCTGTGCTAATAAGGCCTCAGTTTGGAAAAAAGTGTCACACACCTGGTACAGTCTCTTGCACGTAGCCCTCTATATTTTTATTGAGTAAAATATGATCCCTGGTGCCATGTGTCAGAGAAGTCGTTAGTTTCCTTTAAAAGGTGGATGACACTAAGAAGGTTGAGAATGAAGGTAAAAATTCCAAGTTTTCACAGTATCCTGGGGAATGCTGGTCTGAAGGAGACCTATGACTGGCATCCTGTTTCTCATCTCTTCTCCAAGTCACAATATATTTTGCCTTCAAAGAACTAATACTATCTGGTACATCTACTCTACCCGTAATGATGACATCAGTATAAAAACGCTTTAAAAGCTCAAAGGAAAGGGGCTCGTGCTGTCAGATTTAGTTCTGGCTCTACCACTAAGCAACCATGAAGTCATGAAATGGAACAAGTTTCTTTCCAAGTCAATGTTACATAATAAATATGCATTTCTAGGTAGAAGTGGTCCGAAGCATATTTTTATTTTTATTTATTTTTTAAATATATTTTATTGATTTTTTACAGAGAGGAAGGGAGAGAGATAGAGAGTTAGAAACATCAATGAGAGAGAAACAGCTGCCTCCTGCACATCTCCCACTGGGGATGTGCCCACAACCCAGGTACATGCCCTTGACCGGAATCAAACCTGGGACCCCTCAGTCCGCAGGCTGACGCTCTATCCATTGAGCCAAACCAGTTTCGGCAGCCTAAGCATAGTTTTAACACCCTTGGGCATGAAGATTAGAGTTCCCCGATAAAGAACTGTTGCCCTCAATTTTCATTGGAAGAACAGAATAAATTGCATTATGCATCCAAAGATTTAATTGAAAGGTAATATATGACCATGGTGGCTATGAGAGAAGCATAAGGAATTTGAAAGTCCATGCAACTTCAAAGAATAAGCACAGACTAATCTACGTTAGTAAAATGATTAACTTGTGGCTCCTGTGTGGTCTTGCCACATATCTGATTTCACCTCTAACCTCCACCCTCAGGGTAGGAATTTGCATTGAGCAGCTCAGTGAAGGGTTAAGGAGCCAGAGTGGTCTTGCCTAAATGGCCAACTCAAGATGCCAATTTTGGTGCAGTGAACTGGTGTTAGTGATTTACTCCATTAAACCATGCCCCTTTGGGGCAATGCAAATTGAGGCAATATAACTGATTCTAGCTTAGTCAAGGTGCATGGACTGGGTAAAAGGTCATTACCACCTTCTCGTCAGTGATTGGTCCAAAAATGAGCATGTGACTCAGTTCTTGGGGAGGAGACAAATACAGGATTATCAGCATTTCTAGAATAATTCTCACTATTGGAAGCCATTCTTTTTGGTCTTGCATTGAATATGAACAAGAAAACATGGAAGCCTGGATTGCTGCTGGGAGAGGGAACCAGCCATGGAATAAGACAAAAAGTCAATAGGGTAAAGAGAAAGAAAAAATCTGCTATCACCGAGACTACTGCCCACAAACCATGCTACCTCTTGACTTACATAAGATATTTCTGTAGTGTTTAAGCCTAACGGATGTGCATGGTGAGGTGCCTCCTAAGTGACCTGGAGGGCAGGCATCTGTTTTCTGCTAGTTTATTCCCTGCACTGTAGATCTCAGGCTTCAAAATGCACTAAATGATATGAGGAACATGTTAAAATCCAGGACCCACCCCAACACTGATTCTATAGGTGACCAGAAGTTCTTCATTTGTAACAACCCAGGTGACTGATGCCGAGGACAGCAGACACCCAACATCCATTTCCCATTCTTTACTAAAAACAGTAGGTTATGTTAAGGTTGGCAAGGTGAGGTGCCAGTTAAAGTTCATTTAATAGGTGTGGGCATGTGACTGTGCTTCCCTCAGTGGGGTCCCTTCCTGACTAAAAGGCAAGGCCACCTACAGAGAAAGCTCCTTGTCTGACTGAAACGCCCACCGGATACCTGGAGTGACCGATGATTTGCCATCTGAGAAAGTTGCTGGCCAAGGATGGAGGAGAAGGCTGCAAGGAGCCTGGGTCCGTGCTTATTCCTCAAGCCACAGCACCAGCCATGTTCTGCCTGTTGCCAGGTCTCTGGTTACATCAGAAAAATGAAGCCACATAGGTTTCTGTAATGTGCGGCTACACCCCTATCTGCTGACGCGAGTGCTCCACAGCCACTCTGAGAAATACTGCCTACGTGCTTGGTGTCCAGAAAGTTCTTCATAAATGGTTATGCTTGACTTTTTCTCTTGTTTCTTTCTATTATGATTTTCCCTAGAGTCGAGATTCTTACATTCTTTCAAAGTTTTGTTGAAATGAAAAAGACAATGGAATCTAATAAGTACACCATGAAAATCAACTTTATTTGACTTTTAAAAATAAAATGAAAATAGTGTCAAACAGTACAAGGCCAGGTAAGATTGTTAACTTCTCAACTTTGCTTTCAGTAACTAAGATTATGGAACATAGATCTGTTTTTCAAGAGTTACTAAATTGGGGAGGGGACAATAACTTTGGAAAATGTTACGGGAGCACTACTTATAGCAGTATCACAAATCAGAGTTTAGATTCTGTGCTTTAGATAGTAATATATTGTACAATGCTTTTAATAATTTGTAAAACACTATAACGTGCTCTCAGCTGGAGCAGGGTTCTGTTTGGTGGGCCATGAGTCTTGAGACAATCTTAACCTGAAAATTTTTTGAACCACTCAGGTTCAAAATGCAACTACTTAAAACTGGAGCTTTTGCAACAGCCCATCAATTGCTTATTAAATCAATGCAGCAATAAATTGTTTCAGCAACTTCTAAGTAAACTTCTCATCAGATGACCCTTCCGCACGTGAGCCAGGGTATTGGCTCAGTCTGAAACCTCACTTCTTCATATCGTGTTGGCACCATTAGTGTCCTTTTCTATAATGAGATCCAGTGTCCAACTACAAAAGAAAGTCCAAAGTAAAATATTAGACTTGTGTGCATTTCAGAAAAAAACTAATCAACTTAAGCACAACCAGAAAACTTAGGAAAAGTTTCCATTTTATTATCTGGAACCTTCCCTCCAAGGACTTGGAGTGATACATTGTCAGTAAGTACATGTACATCTCTATACCATCCAACCTCAGCTTGTAAAGAGATACTACATTAATTCAATTACAGTAGTCGATCTCTTAAGGAAAAGAGAAATATTAGGAGCATTGAATTCCAGTTAACGTGGTGACTGATTATAGGGTAACAGGAAACTTTTTTCCTAAATCCGAATGAGAATTTTTTAAAATAATGGAGGTGGACCAAAACAGTGACAAATGAGGAACCCAATTACTTGGCTCCCGGTTAGGTTTTCCATTTGTGAAATAGGGTTTCTATAAGAAAGAGGAGAGGATGACGCCAGGCTGACTGCCTAAAAAGAACTACGTTGTTTTGTTTAAAAGGACTATTAACCATAAGTTTTGTCAATGCAACTTTCTGTCCCCAAACAAACACACTGCAAACCACCTGGGTTGTCAGAAATGACAATGGCAGGACCAGAACTTCTTAGGGTAGCTGCCTGGTTGGGATATGGTGGGCTTGAAGCTGCATTTGTACAGCTCACCATATTCAAGGGCATGTTTATTTGGCACCATCTTTGACACCATTACTGCCGATTTCTGCATTGGCCGAGTGCCCTATTGTTTTGTCAGAGCAGCCTTCCTCCCCACTCAACAGTGGGCTCGTGCCCAGATGAGCTTTGTTAGGTGCCTAACAGACCCCTTGAGTAATGTGGCTACCCTCCTCCCCACCAGACTGGCCTCTGTCTGTCCTGGCCCAGTGTGAGCAGCCCTCTCCCTCCCCAACTCTAGGCATGACTTCAGCACATCTTGGACTTTTCTAAATTAGCCCTGATTGCTGAGGAAAGTGGGAAAAGATGCTGGGGCCAAACGTAAGTGACTCTGTAATAAAATGTTTTGGGGTCTCTTGTTTTATCTTAAAAATTCATGCAAATTTGTCATCCTACTCCAGAATATGTTTGTTTTCATATAAAAATGTTTTAAATAATCTAAGTGAAATGAGTTAACTTTTTCTTTTAAAAGATCATCAAATAAAATTGACACTCTAGGAAGGTACCCATGATCAGCTGTGGCCCCATGTGTCCCCAGCACAGCATCCACACATCCATGGGAAAGGCACACTCCCAAGGAGAAGCATCAATACTTAGATGTTAATGGCCCTTCCCGCCCCTAATCCCAGAGACCTCTACTTTTGAACTAAATATCAGGGGAAGGGGGTGGAGGATGGAAAGTGGGAAAGGTGGGGGGGGGGGGGAATGGGGCAAAATGGCAGCTTCTAAAAATAGTCTATAATTTTAATTATTAATTGACTCAGGTGAGCTTGATCCAGTATTTTCCAATTCAGTGAGTTTCCACTAAGAGTCTCTTTTTCACCACCTACATTTTGCTATTTGACTTCAGCGATGTAGTTTCATATTCACACTAAGAAAAGTCTGACTCAAGTACCAAGTTTGTTACCTCATCTTTTCTCTTCCAGGTTTGATCTCTGCTGGTCACTTGAGGACCAGTGTTGACTGAGCCTGTTCAAACACATGCATCAAACAAAAATTAAATCCGGAGTTTAAGAATAAAAGTAGCAGAAGAATATTTTAAAATACCAATTTG